AACAAATGGATTGCAAAAGATGGAAAGAGGATTGACCTCTGGTATAGTTTCCAAACAACTGGTGATTATGGTGATGAACTACGAAGACGACGACGACAATGGCGATGATATAATGTGGATGATGATTTGGCGATGAAAGACTATACGACAATGAGGACGGAACCTGATAACGACACTTATTTGAGACTAAAACAGTCTTACTCTTTTCTCTAATAATGGATGCATCAAATAACCAGGTGGTGGCTTAAAAGTTATGTATTTTTTATAGCGTACACACTTGAAGATTGATACCCATAAATAAATAAATAAAAATAATGTTGATAATAATTAAATAGATAATTCCAAAATTAAATATAATGCATATACTGTAGTAAGTTATACAGTATTATTATGCCAGACGGTAGGTCTACAAGAAATTTTGGTTTTAGTTTAGTAGGCCTAGGCCTATCTTGTATCTGTTATATATGAGATAATAGGACTAATAATAATAATAATAATAATAATAATAATAATAATAATAATAATAATAATAATAATAATAATAATATAATAATAATAATAATAATAATGACAATTTTAAATATAGAAATTTAAATAGAGCCTTTTGCCAAAGGATACAAGGCGCTTATATACTTGTTATTCTCCCTTAAGGGTCCCTTGTCTGTGCTATCCGTTAACTGGTGCCTTGAACAGCTCTCGTCGTCCACCACATGGGCTGTTTGTACCAGTATATACTGGTGTACTGGGTTCTTTAAGTAGCACACACGAGCAAATATAATGGCTAGGCTGCTTGCCCCTCTGCTAATCGCTCAGCCAATCGAATCACCGTCTTTTATGTAAATGCAAACTTTTAAAAAGGAAAACATATCGTCGCATTCACACAAAAAAAAAAAAAAAAAAAAAAAAAAAAATCATAATTGCATACCAATTGCAGAGAGATAGAGAGAGAGAGAGAGAGAAAGGGAAGAAGAGAGAAGAATAAAAAAAATAAAACAAAACACCTCCGACGGGACTCGAACCCGCAATCCCCGGCTTAGGAGGCCGATGCCTTATCCATTAGGCCACGGAGGCTACCCAGAAATCCTCTTGAATTACACTTACAATTTCATTACATACACTTTGGCTTCAAAATATGTTTAATTTATTTCATATTTTGTATTTTAAAAGTTCTGATTATTTGTGAATGTTTTAAAGATATTTATAATTTCTTTGAATTTTTTATTGATGATAAATTTAGCAGTTTACAAATTAATATTATTTACTTGCTATCAATTTATGATACAAACGCTTTGAATGAGGCTAACTTTTTCAAAATGGTGGTGTTGTTACGGTTTTGGTAGCAGAAAAGCATTTGTTAATTTTCTGATATAGCAACAACCACAATCATGGGACGAAGTCGAAGCCGATCTCGTTCACCGCTTGGAAGAAGAGGTAGGCCTTTGTAGGTTAGCCTACAATATAGGGACCTAGCTAGGTTAGGCTAGGCCCCCGCCCAACCCAGCAGGGCAAGCGCTAGCTAGGCCTACTACTAGGCATAGGCCGCCTACCGGGAATTCCCGCCTAACTAGTAGTTAGGTAGGGTAGGCTAGTCTAGGCCTAGCATCTGAAGAGTCTAACCATAACTTCAGTCTCGCTATGTTATTGTTAATGTTAGGGTTAGGGTAGAGTACTAAAGTGCATTATTAGCGCTGCCAACCTGGAGGTAGGCTAACCTTAGATAGGCCGATGTTCGATCATTTCGGCCGTTGTTTATTTTATTAAAAAACATGATGATGAAACGCTAGCTAGGTACTAGGGATTATGACCGGTTGAGCCGCCGACAAGTTGAGCCGCTGGTCATTTCTATGAAACGCCAACCCAAGCGCGTCTCTCAGTGAATGTAGTGCGTTAATTGCGGCGTATTTCAATTAACTTTCGTTATTTGTACTATTTTGTTAAATACTTTTGGGGAGTATTTCAAATTAATTTACTCGTTTTACTGTTTTATTAAATATTTTTGGGGCGTATTTCAATATATTTACTTGTTCTTGGTACTGTTGTTTGGGATGTATTTCAGTTTATTTACTCAATTATTTCAATTTATTTAATACTCGGTTTTTGCACTGATTTATTAAATATTTTTGGGGTGTATTTCAATTTATTTACTCGTTCTTTCTATTGTTTTAATTTAAATTTTGTGAGTATTTGCTCAGTCGGCTTGCCAGATAGTAAAAAACAAAAACTCCATACATTCTTATCATTTATTATATATAAGTTTAACAAATGGTACAAAAATAAAAATATTACAAAACCATAGTAAATACTGTATAATAACATAGGACTAACACATTTAAATTTATTGTTTATAGTCATCTGTCTATTTAAAATCAAATTGGTTTTACTAATTTTACTTATTACTGTTTTATTAATGCTCTATTAATTATTTTTGTTTTATCTTCCATGGTTAATATGCTGAGTATTTGATCAGTCGGCTTGCCGATGTAATTATGTTATTGTTTTATAAACACTTTTGATTCAAATTTTCAATTACAAAACTTATACACTTTTGAAAATATGTTAAAACGGAAACCAAACGTAAATAAACAAAATAAAAATAATCAAGTTATTACATTTTTAATACGATTTTGCAAAATAATCAAAATTCTAATTTTCAATTACACAACTTATACATCACGAACGGCAATACGAGCAAATCAACGACTGACAAGACTGTGGGATGAATATGTAGCTGGTATCCGAGGGGTTCATTCACTGATGACATCGGCAAGCCGACTGATCAAATACTCAGCAAATTAACCATGGAAGATAAAACAAAAATAATTAATAGAGCATTAATAAAACAGTAATTAAGTAAAATTAGTATTACTATGGTTTTGTAAATTATATATTTTTATTTTTGTACTATTTGTTAAACATATACAGTATATAATAAATAATTTAATTAAATAATTTAACAAAATAGTACAAATAACAAATTAACCAATTTTGAGAGACGCGCTTGGCGTTTCATAGAAATGACCGGCAGCTCAACTTGTCGGCGGCTCAACTGGTCATATGCCGGCACTAGGATAGGCCTAGTCCTAGGGCAGGCCTAACCTAGCTAGGGTGAAGGAATCACCGGGTGAAGTAGGAATACTGCCCTACTAGGCTATTTTGGTATAGCTAGCATATGCCCTAAAAACTTGGCCATAGGCCTAGCCTAAGCCCTACTAGGGCCTATAATTTATTAATATTATAATTAGGGAATGATTCATGCCTTATTTATTAGGTAGTGTAGGTACTGTAGTGTAGTCTAGATGTAGGCCTATGCCTAGCTGAGTGCCTACTGTAGTCACAGATGGTCACTGTAATTTAATTGTGTAATTATCTATTAATAAAATAGTATATAAGAAAGTATAATACATACTCCAAGTATTGAAATACACGCCATCGTGTTGGGATTCAATATTTCGACATTAATTATGTCATCATTGCTGACACGATGGCGTGTATTTCAATACTTGGAGTATGTATTATACTTTCTTATCTGAGATTAATCAGTGGACCTTTCGGTTTTTTTTTAAATAGTATATAATATCTATAGCCCTTCTAGGGCTACTATTATAATAATGCCTAAATAGGCCTACTAGTAGTAGGCCTAGAGTATTAATGTGGTAACTAATCAATTGGTGTAAAAGAAGTTTGAAGAAAAGTGATTTTATTTCATTTCACTTTTTACTTTATTCCACTTTTGTCACTACTATGTGATGAGACCATATAAAGCAAAGCTTGTATTGAATTTGAATTGTATGTTCAAAATTAAAATATAAACTTTTAACTCAACTTCTAATATAAATAAATATATAATTATTAATAGGCAGCAAAGAGTATAATAATTGGAATAGTTTGACAATTTGTTATATCATAAATCCTTGATTTTTATTAGTAATCACGTCTTATTTATGTTGTGGTAATGTAATGATTGTACATTACTAAATATGAATGCTTTGACGTTTATTAATAAATTGGAAAAAAAATGATATTTATTGTGTTTCTTGTTGTTGTAGTTGATGGACTTCCCGCTTGATAAGAAAACATTATATTTAGTGTAATGTAATGTTTTACAGGCAGAAACATGTATGTAGTCCATACAGTGCGTGTAAATTCTAATTCTGGCTTATGTTTTTTGCAGCTAGGAGACGGTCCACATCTAGGGAAAGGCAATCTCACAGAAGAAGAAAAGGTAATTCTTGTGGCTAGGCATACAGTATTTACACATGCTTTGTGTGATATAGGCGTGTACATACCTTTTGTTGCCCAACGGACAGCCTACCGTTTGGCGAATCCATTTCTATTCTGTGCGGACACATAGGGAATCTATGCTGTCTGCTAAGTTCATTTGATTTATTTCACCATCCAAATATGTTTGAATACACACAAAAAGACAGTACCATTGTCCGTGACATGATAAACAAAAAGCAAACTTAATTGCTGTTAACAGTTTTTTCTTATGACAATAAGGGTAAATTGTGCTTGCCATCTAAGTGGTTTGTTGATGAAAACGATACTTGGCACATGTTTCATTGCAATTGCGGACTTTATGAAATCACCTTAGCTGATTAAGACCTGACTAGGTTAAAACAGTAAAATGAACCACTGTGCACCTGGCATCACCTATTTTTAAAGAGCAATAGGTGACATAGACTTGCAAGTTGATTCAGTCAAACATCAGTGTCAGTCGTTTAGGCCAGTTTATGTGCCATCTGCATCTCAGTGGTTATCGAATGTCAAGGGTGCGCATTATAATGATAATAATAATAATAATAAAAATAAAAACAATAGTAATATAATAATAATAAATAATATTTGTGTAGCGCTCATATATATTTTAAATAAATGCTCAATTCATGGTCCAGTTTATGCACAGTCACATGTGCACGGTTGCAGTTTGCTAGAAGTGATGAGTACAGTTGTAGGCCTAAATAAATGAGTACCTACAGTATCGACGGATTAAAATCCAAGTTCATCCCAGGGAGTGACAAATTGGTGTAAGATTAAGGTTGTTAATGTTTTGTCAAAGTAAATACTACTAAAATCCGGCAAGTTTGGCTAATGTATGTAGACACAATGAAATGTAAAAATATTTTTATTTTACTGTAGATTCAACTTCCTTTGTTTTTTTTTTTTCAGATAGAAGTCGGTCAAGAAGTAGATCCCCAAAGCACTACCGACCAAGGTAAAATAAACTTCCTTTTATTTGCATACAGGTAGGTTTTATATTTAGAAATTAAACTGCAAAAGGCAGTGTAATTAATACTATTTTTATCATTCTAAATAATTTGAAATGAAATGATCAGTAAAACTTACATCAACTAGAAAAAAAGTGGAAAGGTTAGTTGGCAGTTTTAAGAAAATACACTTGAACCATCAAATTCAATATTAGAATTGCTTAATTTGTGTACTTTGGTGTTAACTTTCAAAATTGTCCTTACCTATTAACAAGTGTTTATGACATCGGAGTCTCCAAGAGGCCAATTGGAAGTTCGTAACTTATTTGATCCTTAAATTTAAGAAAAATTCTTAGGTTGACCAACATTAAATTCCAATCTTTGGGCACACAATTTATCAGTTGGTGTCAAAATATCAATTTCCAGATTTTTCTAATCCTCTTTGTTAATTACACAGAGCTATTAAACAACTAGAGTGCTGACTAGGCAACAAAGCAATGCAGAGTTGTGTATGTGTACCATATAAGATGGCTGCTGTAGGAAAGTGCCACCTTCAGGCTTACTGTAGTACAGTTGGATGCCTAAGTCGAATCCAAAATGCCATTGAAATATTGTTCGACTAATTAGATAAAATTTGACTTACAGATTTGTCATTAATGGAAAACACAATTTGGCATGTAAAATAAGATCGACTTAGAAATTATTCGACTTAGACACAGTCGACTTAGGCAAGTTTAACTGTATACATATTAGCCTGGTTCACGTTGAACTTTATCTAGATATACCCGTCTTGAAACATGATATGATAATCCCCTAATTGCGTTCAATGCCAAGTTAGAGCCAGATAAACAGCCAGCCAGTTTCAGGCCGTCGACGTCACACGGTGGAAAGGCTTGTTTAATAAAACGTCTACTGTATTTTACGAACCTCTATTAACAAGGGGTGTTCGTTAAAAAAACTGCCAAATTCGTAAACTACTGTATGTAGATCAGGTGTCAGTTTCCACTACCAGCCTAGCCGACCAGTACGAACCAACCGACAGTGCAGCAGCATGTTCTATCGCAATCTAAGTAGTAGTAGATTCTCTAGGCCCTAGCTAAATTTACTTTCAATAAAAAACGAATTATTTTAACAAAATATTGTTTTAATTCTCGTTAAAACGTCTGTATACTTTATGGACCTTTCTGTCCTGTTTTGTAGTTTTTAGATCGCTCAATTGTGTTGTTTACATGCACTTCGCGAAAATGTAGCTTCGCGGTGTCAAATAAGTTGCTGACTTCAACACACTTTTTTATTTCGTCATCGTAAACATGTGAGCTCATTTTAACGACTGATGTTGGTGGTAGTTCGTTGAAACTGAATTAATAGTGACTATTATAGTGGAAATGGAAAAGATAGAATTGTCAATAAATAAATAAATACAACAAATCTGATTTTTTTATTAAGAATAATATACATTATCACTTTGGAAAATGTACGCAATCGGACTTTTTGACGTTACTACTTGGTGGATGATGCAAAGGGCAAAGGTCATTTGTAATACGACTATTCGTAAAAAGGACGTTAGCTGGGTTTTTACCCATAATATTACAAGTAATTTCTGAAAAGCAGACTAATGAGACTACTATGCTGCTGTTGTTAGCATTGTTGGAGTACGTTGTTGCCAGCCAGAAGATGATAATGGTGGTACAGCACAACAACGCTGGCTGATGCCTACGTTATGTAATCGTGTCCTTGTAATCTGAGCCGACTTTACCGTTAAGCAAGTTAATTTACTGTTATTCTAGTGAAGTTAGGTCACTTAACTTTAAGTGACTTAAGCCTTTATCTAGCTATAATTGAGTGGTTCACGTCAAACTTTCAACTAGTATCTATCTATATCTAGATAAAAGTTCGACGTGAACCAGGCTACCATAACCATAAATAAGCCCTCTGACTAACTATTATTTCAGTAATCATTGTTATTAATAATATTAATAAATTATTTAACTATCTTAGCCAAAAAGAGGCCAAGTGGAGTATCTGATTAAAAAATAAAGTGCAGAGGAATGAAAATCGAAATCGTGTACACCGCAACGCTGAAGTTTCAACATAGTATTCAAAATTTTAGTGGTTAAATAATATTTCAGTTGCATTGTTAGTATGTTATGCTATATTTTGCCCATGAAATTGAATGATAAATTATTTAAAACCTCAATGTTGTGTCCTAAACAAGTAACTTTTAAATTGTTTTTTTTTTTTCAGGTCAATATCACCAAGAAGAAGAAGGTAATACTGTGTTTAAGAAATTGATATATTTTCATTATTCTCTTAGGCCTAAAAAAAACCGGAAATCAAAAGGTCTTAATTAAACTCAATACTAAATAGCTTATGATCCAGAAACCACTCTCTAATAGACTACCTAGAATCATTGATCATAGGCTTTCCTACATACGAACAATTCATGAACAAGTCCAACAAATGCTGAGGCATACAAACAAAACTCCTAGGGCTAAAATCAGCTTTTTTGGCATAGAAAACCACAAAATTAAATCCTAGGCCTAATAGCTTACTGCTGATCTATTTGAATCTCCTATATTGGATTTTTGTGTCTTGTTTTTTCATAAAGATGTTTACAGTAGTGCAGGAGAGCCACTTGATAGTGCATGCACTTTTGGCAATCCTCAGGTAATGAACACCTTGCATGTTGTAGATTTTGTATTATTTTGGTTTTATCTGTGTATTGAATAAATGAAAGTGAAATGAAAAACCTAAACCTTACAAGTATAAACAATTTCTTCAAAGCTCTACAAATCATGACCTTAAACACAAAGCTAGGTGTATACCCTAGGTCTAATTTCACGATCATAAGCAACATAAGTTGCTTGTCCATGATAACAATAAGGCTGTATATGTTATATATTTATTTTCACACACATTTTAATGAAGTAGAAGAGGCAAAGCCAATAAAATAAACATTCATTTTTTTTCTTTGTCATATTCAGATCTCATTCACGGTCACCAACAAGGAGGAGGTACAACAGAAGCCATTCAAGGTCACGGTAAGGGCACTTATGTTATGATACATTGTAATGTACTTTTAAAGATGAAATTTTTAACATATCAATCACACAAATAAGTGGTGGCGGTGGAGGGTGGTTGTTTTTACTGATATTAAAAATCTCAGTTCTTTTCAGGGTGTGAACCAAGTGCCCCTGAGATTGGAAAGTAAATATTTTAATTACCAAGCTGCATCTTAACTACATCAATATGTTCTATTACCATGTACTAGTTTTACTATATGGACATATAATATATAACTATAATACATTGTTATTATTAGGTCACCAGCTCCAAGCAAGGAAACTAAAAACACAAGTGGTCCATCTGGACCTAAGCCTAAGGATAAGCTTGAAGGTAAGTATGTACTTAGGTACATTCACATCGAATCCGAATTGAAATTCGGACCACGTTTCCGAAGCACTAAATGCCAGTATCTAAAGGCCAACTCAGACAGCGTCTTGTGACGCATCCTGACGCAAAACATTATCGGGGAACAGTCTTAAGCCATCGTGAGAATATTTAACATGTTAATGTTCTGGACACGACTGTCTCCGATGCAGACTATTGCGTCTGTGTTTAACTCGCACAGATCTGATGCACCAATAAACCCCATCGAACTGTGTCATACAACGCTGTCTGTCTGAGTTGGCCATAACACACTGGTTTGATTTTTTGATCAGTAGGATTTGATGTGAATGCTGTGTAACTTTGTAAGTAGATCAACCACACAGTTGTTTTAGGTACTGTACAATACAAGTGGGTATTGTAGTAATATTATTTAAAAACACAATTACAACTTACATAAATGATGTTACAATGAAAAACAAAGTAATGGGCTATTTCCAAGTAATTTTCTTCTTCTAAGAAGAAGAAAAACCTTTACATAGTGCCTTTAGGATCACAGATATTCCTAGGCACTTTACATTTAAAAGACCTACTGTTCATTTTTCCAAAATTTATCAAAATAACATGAATTAACATTATACTATTCAAATGTATTATATTCATTAACTATCTTTTCAGCACCTCTAACTGAAGAAGACAGTGAAATGATGAAATTAATGGGCTTCTGTAACTTTGATACAACAAAGGTAATATCTTATTCTATGCTTGTTTAATGGACAGGGAGGCCTTCCTGATTTCCAGGACACTCCCAAGACACATAGGAGACTTAGGGCCCCTTAATGGCAATTGACTATTTGTTGGAAAAGCTTACCTTCTTTATTTCAACACAAATGTACAAAGCTTTGTCGAAGGAGCATGGGCCAGCTCAAAAATGGGCATTGTGTATAAAAAAATTTATAAATTGAAATTTTAATTGAATTTGTTTTTAAGGTTTTACATATTTTATGATGAACTATATACCTTTACTAGAGTCAGCATACAGTGTGTGGTGTTGTTCTCTACCTTACATAATATTTATATAATAATAATAATAATAATATTTTTTTATTAACAGGGCCAGCATGTACCTGGTTCTAACAATGCATCAGCTTCGACTATAAAAGTAAATAGACGATACAGGCAAGTTCTTATTAATTTTTGAAAGTTTATTTTCTCACATCTAACAGAACGTGCTTTGCTAATTATAACATTTTGTTTCATACATAACATGTTCATAAAAATTAAATACATTTTACATACATGTTTGGAGTGATGCTTATTCAAAAGCAGCAATTTTTTGAAAATAATTGATATATTTTGTTATAAAACAACTATAGAGTGTACATTACATATATTTCTTCTGAATTTTTTCTATAATTTTTATTCAACATGGTCCTGCAGTCCATAGAAGCCAAGCACCATGGTTACATCATAGTATATTGTTTAGTTTAGAAAGTAAATTATATTTTATATGATTTGTCTCCTTTTTTTCTACCAACAGGCAATATATGAACAGAAGAGGTGGCTTCAATAGACCCCTGGATTTCATTGCATGAGGTGCTGGCTACCTGTATCAGGAGTTTCTCCTGCAACTAGACTCGTTATACTGCACAACGGCCTCTGGTGGCTAATTTACAAATGGAATTTTTAAAATAAATACTGCTATGGCAATATAATAATTTTATTCCATTTATTCAATGTCAGCTACAAGTTATTGTTGGATGTTTTGTGCAAAGTCAAAGAGTATGCATTTATGCAATGAAACAAAAAACTTGAACATGCATTCTATAGAAGCAGCACGCGTTTGATAAGCAGTACGCGTTTGATGTGAACGCCTTTTTTGTTTTTGTGAAGTACCCCCTCTAGTTTGTGGTAGTAGTTTTCGAGATAGTATTGCGTTTCAATGAAACTCTGAGAGTTGGACCTCTTGCAGTTTTTCTACACTTTTTTGGCAAAGTATATAAAGGCGCCTAAAGGCCAACTCAGACAGCGTCGGCCGATGCAGCCCGACCCGATTTATCGTCGGGGACAGTCTTAAGCCGTCGTGAGAAATATTAAACACGTTTAATATTCTACTACGCGACTGCTCCTGACGCACACCATCGCGTCTGCGTTCAACTCACACAGACCCGACGCGACAACAAATCGCGTCGGGCTGCGTCGGCCGACGCTGTCTGAGTTGGCCTTAAGAAAAGGGGGAAAACAAAAGATTTGTCGAGCTGACTGTGACAAGAGCATATTTAATTTGCATTGGGAAAGATTTGCGGCAATACTTATAGCGATGCTGCTCTCAATAAAACTTGTACTGTAAATCAAAGATCTTACAATAACAAGATAGCGCAATCTTCAATTTCTGGGTGCAAATTCTGTAACAATGCAGTGTAGGGCACCCTCTCATTAAAAATTACTTTTCAACTTTAACATAAAATATCTTAAACTAAAGATAGCGCATTTTGTGATTTCTGCGTGCAAATTCTGTAAGAACCATGGTAACGACTAGGACGCTTTCTCAATAACGATTACTTTGTATGCTTTTTATTTTATTATTTATTTAGGTGCACAACACATGCGCCAAAGATTGTTAATAGAGAATATATAAGTCCTATTTTGTAGGTGACAATCCCTTTCACAAGACAAACATACACACACGATGCTTTATACAAACTAATTCTCAATAACAGGCTTAGGGAGTGGAGTTGTTTTGGTCATGAGAAAAAATCCTGCAACAATGACAGGAATTGAACCCAGGACCCTGGGATTAGAAGGTAAGCATCTTAACCACCAAGCTATTCAACTCCACTCCTTACCGTACGTCAACGCTTCTTTTTGTTACTTGTGAAATTGTAGAGAGCGCTATCTTGTTATTACAGTATAAGATCTTTATTATGAATATATTCCTAATTGAAAATGCAAGAAAATCATCATGCGATATTGAATAATCATCAATAAATGTGTAGGGTATACTGTATATGCTTATTTCCTGTTTGTATGTATGTACAGGGCTGTAGCCACTGGTACAGTTGGTCAGGTCTCAACAAGACCACAAGTTAATTGATTAGGTTTTGAATAGGCAAAAATTCTAATTCCACTTGCATGTTTAGACCCAACCTCCTCCCTCTTGACATCACTTAGTAACCTGGGATTGGGGTAGTTTGCATTATTTTCTTCTCTTTAGTATAAGATTTATAATGATTAAGAAACTAGGATGCATTTTTTTCTTCAATTGAAATTCAGTGTCAGGTCTTTGCTTTTATCCAAATTAAGTAGGTTAAACGTAGGCCAGCAGATTAGAGGCTATTTTGGGGTGGAGGTGGCAATGGAAGTACTACCGGCTAATTTTGATATTTTCTGAAAATATAGGTCTTGAGAAGTTCAGAACTCAAAATTACCCAAAATCCCTTTGGGGGAACAACTCCAAATTACGCATTCAAAATGGCC